ACTAACTATACATGCAACTTTTGGTTACCTATTTAAGTAATTTGTATATTAATATTATATTAAAGGGTGTGGTGACTTAGTGAAGTTAGCAAGTTGTCGCATCCCTAAGCAGCAGAACTAGAGTTCGAATCCCACTAGCGACGAAAATTTAAATTATAGAAAATGCATTTGGAAGACTATATCCTGTTGGGTTGTAAAACCTGTAATGGTGGTCATATCAGCTTGTACTGGGGGTAGTGGAACATGTAGTATAATGTATGAGTTATACAAAACCCAAGTGAAACTACTGGATAAATACAACAAATTTACAGGATACGGAAACCTGCTTGGCAAGACCCAAGCGGAGAGGTAGCACAAATCTTTGACGGTTACTATGTAAAAGATGATTAACCAGATACCAGAAAACCAGACAGGACCAAGATGTTTAGCAAAAGAACTATACCAACCAGGCTGACGAGGAAAAACAAAAGAAGAGTTTCACCCTTCTGAGCTGTAGGATTGGGAGTTTGGGTTTTTGGAAGTATGAAAGGAAGTTCATAAAGTAGGTACTGGAGTTTGGGTGAACTCTACAAAGGCAGTAGTAGGTAACTATAACAGCTTCAGCTCACAAGTACTTGTTATCGAACTCGGCATAAGTTACCGAAAAGGACTAGTTTGGAAATGTGTAAGATATAGAAAGATTAGAGAGTATATACTACACCCTCTCTAGGACAATCTGGTAAGTATGAGAACCTTACTGGGTTATCTATAGAATTAGAGCACAAGTAGTATAGCACATATAGCAGTATGAGGTTATAAGCTGGCGTAATTGTAAATGGTGATAAATATACTACTTAAATACCTAATAAAAATTCGCCTGTTCATAACATTGCGAGGGGAAAAAAAAAAAAATTATAAAGACTATACTATTTGCTATATCTATAATTCAACTAGATGATTATCTATTTAAATACTCTGTAATGCAACTCTTTTATATTATTAATACATCTTTATTATATTTGTCAGTCAAGAAGTCTGGATGTTTTCTTTATTCCTTTAGGATTAATTATTCTCAAAACATAGTTGTTAGAACTTTTTATATTCATAATCTGGCTAACCTAGACTTCAGTAACTTATACCGAGTCTAAAGACAAGTGCTTGTGAGCTAAAGCTGCTACTATTATCTACTTTTGTCTTTATAAAGTTTATCCAAACCTCAGCATTCACTTTATAATCTATTAATAATACTTCGAAACTAACTGAAAATGTTCCAAACTACCAATCCAAATAGCCTGGAAGAGACTAGTAGACATTATCTAATATTCCAAATAAATCTTTTTTTTTCAATTGTGTCTAATGGCCTGATTGATATAATGCTTTTGTCAAATACTCAATCTTCATTTAGTTTACTTCTAATATTCAGATTCTCAAATGATAATCCTATACATAACACCATTAAAAATTTGTACTACCTCTTTACTTGAAACTTTCAAACAGGCTTCTGTATTATCTGATCTCTTAAATTAATTTGATTGCTTTACTTGAAATTCATATAACTCATATATTATATTATTGTTTTACAACCTTTCAATACAAGCTGATATAACCAAGGTTACAGATGCTAACTCAATCGATATATTATATAGTCTGCTATTACACATTCTGTAAATTTAAATTTCATCACCAGTGGGATTTAAACTCTTGTCCTGCTATTTGGAAATATAACAACTTACCAACTTCACTAAGTCATCACATCCTATCTCAAGTTTTTATATAAATAAAGACAATCAAGACCAATAATAAAAAAAAAGAAAAAATCAGCTTATATATACCAATTCAAGTTATACTAAAATCAAAAACCACAAATTTTCAAAAGAGATGCCTCTAAATAGATAAATATGAAATAAAGATACCTTCATGTATGACGTATGTACATGTTGATGTCCAAAAATTTTTTCTATTTTGTGTAACCCAGTCTCCGGACCTAATTAACAATACCCGAAAATTAGCAAATTTTAGCGAATTTTACTTATAAACCCGCTAACCAATAAGCTAAATAAAGTTGCTCAAATCGTAATTTTGCTAGTGCTTGTATTAGCACTTAGTAGGTCCGATCCGAAGTCCGAAGTCCGAATCCGAATCATCCGATCGAGGTCCGGAAGCTCTGGTTACACGAAAGGGGAAAATTTTTGGACATCACTAACCTACTAGTGAAATTGATCCCTAGCAGAATTTTAGGGTTAGGGCAGGCCGGAATTATGTTGATGCCGGCCGAGGTTTTCAATTGATCAATTTGACCCTGGTCACGTTTAACTTGACCTAAAAACCAATTTGACCCGTTACATATCGATACATGGGTGAAATCACCAACCAAAAAAGTTTCGAAAATCATCATGATTATAATGTGCTGTAACCAAATTTCCACTAATAATAAAGAAAAAAATGAAAATCGAAATAAAATTATAAAAACTAAATAAAAAAAGAATTCCTGACATGCTTTATAAAACACGAATTTTTATATATAAAATTAAAAAAAAAGACCGGCCGGGTATATTTAAAAATTTCATGTTATGAAAACCAAGATACGTATTAAATTTGTGTAGCCTTATTTGGTATTTTAAGAAATTTCTCAACATTACAGTATATTTTGTAAATGTTCAAGATATATCGAGAAGTCGGTTTAACCAGGGGCATTTTCATATTAAATATAAATATATATAAATAATTATAACAAGCTACGGCACATTTGACGTAGCTTTTTATAATTATTTAATATAGTTACGGCATCATTGGGACGATTCACCTGCACCTTTAGTCGTTATATATGAATGTCAATAATAACCAGAGTGACGTGTGTTTGATTTTTAATTGTCCTTTTTCCTATAGCTACTAGGATTTCCCTCTAATTTCCTTGCAAACACTTTAAAAGCTTCTGATATATTTTTGTAAACTTGCCCATTCTGTTCGAGTTCCCATCCTGCTGTTAGTTTCCCGTTTTCATCAAATACCTTCAAAGCAATATCACTTACAACTTCTCGTGTTCCTTCATCGAAATCAATTCCATTAATCAACATCTCATTTAATAATTCACCAACCCCATAAAGGTCCCTCCAGCAATCCCATCTTGTTCTAATTAATTCGTTATAGACTTGTGCGTTGCAACCAAGCACGTATGATATGACACCACGACGTTTAACTTGCTCAAATATCGCGAATGCCATGTAAGGATCGTTGAACTTTGTACGACATAACGCTATGCTTTCTTTTAAAAGTGTTGCGTAATTTGCGTCTATAGGTCGACCTAAATCATCAACTACTCGATTTTGATTAGTGCTTTTAAAAGGCGACTCGCTGTTAATATTGGTATCTGTTGTGTTTGGAAATATTCTATTAGATATAAAATCTCGGAGTTGTAAAATTGTTTTACATTCTGCTAAATTATTCTGTATCTTCATTGTTATAGCGCCTCCAAATTGTTCATGAAACCATTTTGTTGCATCGGATCGTTGTTTTGGTCGAGGATATTTAGTAAATGATTCTGTATTTGATTGAGTTTTTAATTCGTTTAAATGTTTTTGTAATAATGGTATCGAATCTGAATTCGAGATTTTTTTTGTCGATCGGTGTCGATCAAAGAGAGCAGAGTAAATTTGCCGGAATTCCTCCTTAGCTTTAAAGTATCCATCCGGTTGTGGCCTTTGCAACTTCTGATATTCCAATTGTGTCTTCTTTCGTACTTTATTATTGTCATCTTCGCTAGTTACGTCTTCGAATAGAAATTTCCACTCATTCAAATCGTTTTTAGTGACAGAATTATTTATATTCCTCGATTTTATAATTGAACTCTCTGAAAAAATAAAACGCTCATTGGACGCTTTAAAGCGAAAGAATCTGATTATCAAAACAGGCAGATAACATACTTGCGAGAAACCTTCTATTCGAAAACAGTTTAACTCTGAAAAAATGTGCCATAATGTAGATTTTTTTTTTAAACAAATTTTATCCTATCGCTATCGATCAATACCGATACAAAAGCAGGACAGTTAAGTTTTTCCAAAAAATTCATGTGATTTTTAGAACTCTAAATTAACAAATAAGAATGCAAAGAGCGGAACGGCAAAAAATTCGATAGAAGAAAAGTTTACTTAGATAAAAAAAAAAAAATTCCAACTCTATAGGAAAACTATATTAACTTCTATTTATTTTGGATGATCTATTGACTAGTTAAAACGTATTATACTTTTATCTTTACGCAATTAATTTTTTTTCGTAGCTAAATCTATTCTTGCGCAGTAATTAGTAAAATATATAATATATATTCGACCCTGTCATAAACCCGGAATAAATTCCCAACTGTTATAAATTACCAATCAATGAAATTTCCTGGATGCATCGCTCTTTTAAATAAATAAACATCCACCTTTCTTGAAGAAAAATTCGCCCTACACTTGCGACTTAGAGTTAAATTCGGCATAGAAAATTATTTGTAACTCTCCAAGACATGAAAATTGTTTGGAATTACTATGTAGACATAATACAAATTAAGTGTTAGAAGTGTTTGACATTACGACAAATTACGTAGAAACATTTTGATTTAGGAAAAGGATACGTATAATGCGATGGCGCATTTGTTGTACATATCAATGAATAATGAATGAATCGAAGAACAATTCAACTCGTGGTTGTAGACATTGAGTATTTTAATGTTCTCAAGGCAAATTCTTTTTGGTATATTCATTACATAATATATATTTATATCAGAATGTATAGATTATATATTTCTAAATTATTCATATATGTACAGTATATATATGTCGTACGTAGTACGTAGGATCAAAATTTAAGTTGATTCGGAATTTTTAAGAGATTTTTAGTATAATCCTCGATCACTATATCAAGATCACGGGAGGATTTAACTCTGTTGCGGGTATTATTACTAATTATTCTGTAAGATAGAATTTAGGGGAATTTACAAATAAGGGCCTGAAAAGTGAAAATAATTACGGATAAGGGCCCAAATTAAAAATAATTACAA